TGGCGAGGTATGCTATCTCTTGTAATTTAAATATTATTACTTATTAATAACTATTGCTTGTAATCTTGAACAACTTTGGGTGTTTTAGGACTATTGAATCGTAGGAGATTTTCAGTGTCCCGATCTCCAAGTTAAGTAAGTGTTCCTGCACCCTTGTTGAATGATCATTCACGAGAGTTGTCTTGGTGCGTTTCGGTATGCTCGTGCGTATGTGTGTCTGTGTGTGTGTTTATAGGTTTAGCAACCTGACGAGGAACTGCCGGTATGCGTGTTTTTGTGTGTTACGGTTTTGTCACTCACTCTCATCTCAACAGAAGGAGGAAATTGGAGACAGAAATTTCGGAAAGATGTTCTCTATCCGTATTCTGCTCCGCAAACCACAAATAAACTTTCATGCTCATTTCATTTCACTTATAGAAGCCTGAAAAATAAAAAGGTAAAAAAGGTTTTGGCGGTGAAGCGATTTCGGAACCAAGGATAAGGTAGTCCAACGCAGCTCGAGTAAAAATTTCTTTCTGTGTCTCTGTTCTTCCTAATTCTTTGTCGCTAAGTAAGGACTTCATTTCTACTCGTATCTCAGTTTCTCGGCTTATTTTACAATTATACTGAAGTGCATAAAAAAATGATTAAGCGAGGGGATGTGTTGTCTGGAAAAATCAGTTTTCAGTTAGAGCATCTGTACTTGAAGCCGTTGAAAACAATTGGCACGGTACACACCATGAACAAGAAGCGCCTAAAATCATTCCTCTCCCTCGCTTTAAGCGTTTAAAACCTAAATTTTACTCGTGAACTGTTGAGCCATTAGTCACTCCACTGTGATGGAACGAATTCTAGAATGACCACCGGGTTCAGAGAAATTTGAGAACTGGCCACCTATTTGTTCATGAGCTGTGAATTACAGCTTTTAAAAGTAAGCATCAGGTACCATTACTCACTACCTCGCCCAGGCATCACTTCGCATATTTGCAGCATATTTGTTTCTTATCGAGCTGTCTCTTGCGATCAGTTATCCATACGCTAAACTGCTTCATAATCGCTATCACAGGAAACTGTTCATCTTTTCGTCGGTCATTCTAATCACTTTGCTAGCAACATGGCAACAACGGATGCTGTGTGGCTATTTGTTTGGTGATGAGCCGGATGGATATCCTCCAATATACAATGGAGGTTGACCGTCTTCTTTTGGGTTGCTCAAATACTTTTTAAAATTAAAACAAAATTCGAATCAAAATTTTTCCAAACCGATTCCCCTCCTTCGGGTCTGTCAATCGCAATCCACCCGAGTATACAAAGAATACAAAGACAGTCGAATATGGGGATTCAGTGTTAGTGAAGCTTCTGGAATGCTTCCATACGCCGGCTGCAGTCGCATTTGTCTTCCTCCCCATCCATCGATCTTGGGCAGCACACTTCCAGTTAGTACTCGTCGCATTTCCGATGCGCGGGCGCCATTCTTTCGGAGTGAAGTAGTTTATTTTTTCGTGGGTACCACTCATTAATGTGTGAAGTGCAAGACAAATAGTCTCATGCTTCCTGTGGCTCTTTCTTTGTACACACTAAATATAAATTGTTTCTGAATTCCAAGCATCGAAATTGTAAAGCTGGCTTCACTTTATCTTTAATTATTTAATACTGCATATACAGCTTCTGAAATCCAGGCAATTGCAAACCACCCATCGCTGTGCAACAATATTACGACTTCTCGGAACGTGTAGCTGATCAACAACCGTATCCATATCCTTGCCAGTTATCCGCGGAACAACGAGATCGAGCGCTAACTACGAATATTTACCTTTTTGAAACCTTGTCATACGACCCCCCTGCCAAATATATCGCTGACCCGCTGATCAAGAAGCATTTTCGCGATAATCGAACAAATGTCACATATTCTGCGCAGAGCACTGGATTTTATAAAGTAGTTTTTTCAGTGTATGGCGCACTGTTTAAAATATAAAAGTCCCATACCTATTGTCCACCCCCCTCATCTCCTGTTGCGGAAAACCCACGAAAACCCGGACAAGAAGATGGGAATAAGAAAAAGATGGGACCTGCCTATGGAAGGCAGGGAAGAAAAAAAAGGGTAGCTAGCCTAGACTACCAGCAGATGAATAGTATTGGTCTAGCTTTCACTATGTTTCATTTAAGATGCCTCGGCCTTTCGCAGAAGGGTTATGCAAGAGCGGAAAAGCGAATTTATTTTTGACTTTGACAAAAACTGCTAAGTAGTCTTTACCTGCAGAAGCTGTCATGTCTGCGTGCTTTACCAATGTACTTCTTAAATGTATGATTTTCAGTAAGTTCAGATGCGAGTATTGTAAATATCGAGTGACATCGCTGTCCACTAACCTCAATATATAAAAGGAATACTGAATGTACAGAAAATCGCAATTATTGTCGCTTGTTGGTGTCGTAAGGTGTCGGCGTTGAGTTGTGAAGTTGTGTGCATTTGTGTGTTTTTTAACGGGAAAACATGATATAGGAAAAGACAGGACCCGACATACTTTCACATGGCTTTTGCTGTTCGAGTACTCTAAACACCACTGCCAGCGGGATTTGAAACTCTCTCTTTCTGTGATGACTTGGATATTGGTCTGTGAGCAAAACTTCACTACAAAAGTCATTTTAATGCGTTTTTGCATATATACGGATATTTTGACGGCCCATGATGTGTATGTGCGTGTATGCTTGGGTGTGAATGTGTACGCGTATGTGTGTGTATCTGTGTATTTCAACTCGGCAACCAAGTAAGCGCCGACGCTAAAATTTTGTCAGTGGGTTCTCCCCCAAAATGCACCCCAGGTCCACAGTGCCAAACTTCATACAAATCAGAGTCCGGGGTACGAAAATGTGAGATTTTTGGTGGGAAAACCGTGAAGTCGGGAACAAGAAGAGCTGGAAAGCTGTAGTTTTAACGGCATGGCCCCTACTCAAGTACCACCTAATTGCACAATTAATTTTCTGTAGTTCCAGAGTCAGTATGCCACAAATTCTAGCTTCTGGGACCTCAAGCTATCTTACTACAGCATGAAGCACTGCAAAAAAGCTTGATCACATAGGACTGCCTGATACGTTTGCCAACGATTTTGTATGTATTCACGAATTTAATGTGTGAAAAAAGTTATTTGCATGGATCGGGAAAAACGACTGTTGCGCTTGTTGGAAACAGTTTTGCAAATCGCGCTGCGCCTTCTCTACTTGCTGCCTTGGGAGATTCGTTCAAGGAAATGCGATATATTTCACAGCACGGTTGTAACTGGTACTATGGTTCCGAATTTCCTGGAAATATTTGTTCAAAAGTGCTGAATGCTACACTTGCACTGCTTGAAGAAGCACGGCCGGACGTTATTTTCTACGTGGTCTTGTGAGTTTTCAAGTTTGCATTGCAGTGGGATGAAGATTATCAACAAAGCCATTTTTTAGTTTTGCATAGCGTCGGCATTTTTGGAAATTCAAAAACATTCAGGGATGCGCATCTCAAACACAACAATAAATGCTTTCAGACCGATAAAAGAATTAACTTGGCCTATCGAAAACATAGCCACTGATCGGGTATTAGACGCGCTACAAAAAACGTTTA